TGGCCCATCTGGTTAAGCAGGTGTACGACTTTGCCCTTGCTTTTCCTCCGGCTCCCCACATATCTGAAAAATGACTTTTTATTGTCCTTGATGCTCAAAGCTAGTTGGAGTTCAGTTGCATCCTTGGCTTTCCTGGTTCGGTCCACGTAGGACTGGACCAGTGCAGAATATTCCTCCTTGGAGGTGAATCCCATCCTCCATCCTTTGTAGGCTTTTCTTTTTAGCCTCAGGAGGTCTGCTAGATCCCTGGAGAGCCAGGGGGGCTGCTGTGCCCTCTTGCTGCCTTTCCTCCGAGATGGAATAGAATTAGCTTGTGCATTGATGATCGCTCCCTTGAGGAGCAACCACTCGTCTTGAACTCCCCTCCCCCTGGGGTTGTGGTCCCCTAGGCCTCACTGATGAGCCTCCTGAGCTTGTCAAAGTCAGCTTTCCTGAAGTCAAGGACTTCAATGTTGCTGACTGACTTGCCAGCTTTACGGTGGATGGTGAAGGTGATCAGCTCGTGGTCGCTGTCACCCAGCTTCCCATCAATCTCTAGGTTGCTGATTAGGTCATCCCCAGTAACCAGTACCAGGTCGAGCAGTGCTTTACCTCTTTTTGGCAATAGGCAGTCTCTCTCAGGACCTGCTCACCTGGGGCGAGTACCTTAGCTCTCAGCATGCCCAGACATCACTGAGGGGCCTGGACTTTCATTCTGTCAGATCACACAGTCTTTTAACAAGCAGATTAATGCTCTCCTATTTTCTAAATCACTAGCTCCAGAGCTGGGGGCTGGTGCCTGGATCCAGACATGAAATGCCACTGGCCAAGCCTGTCTGAACTAATAAGTCCCTAGCACTCCAGTGAGCACGCTTCTGAGAGCATATGGGAGTCTCAGTGACCATGGCCCCAGGAGGCAGAAGAGGAATCCAGAATAACACCTTGTGCCCCAGCCCTTCCTGTTGTGCGCTGCTGGGGCTCCTTGCACTTGCAGGAAATGTGGCTGTGTACTGGAGCTGGTCGGGAATTCTCTTCTCCCATGACATATCTCAGCCAAAACAATCTCTCTCCTTTTTTCCTTTTCATCTCTTTCCTTAATTTGGGGAAAAATAAACCCAGGAATTGACAGCTGGAAGCAGAAAAACATTTGGTGGGAAAAATGTCCAAAGCATTTTGGAAAAAGCCAAAGCATTTTCTGAGGGAATTTCCGCTCTTGTGAGAACAGCCCCTTTATGCTGCCTTTGGCAATGCTCTGACAGGACATTCTCGGCCAGCACTGCTGCTCCTTGGCTTATCCTACTGCAAAACCTGCCTTGGGTTGCTGTCTGCGAAGCACCTGGACATCTCTGGAGAAAAGGGCCAGGTTGTTGTCTGATGAAGCGGCCCCATTACGGAGGTCTGCTGCACACATGATATTTGGTGGGAAATGGCCTAGGGAGTGTGAAGGCTGGAATTAGTTGCATGGATGGCTCAGGGCACAGCCCTGCTGCAGCAGCAAGGGGCTCGCTCCACGGTGCTGTGTGGTACCGTGGCTACGTCCCTGGAGTGCCTGGCACGCTGGCCAAGATCAGCCCTGTAGATAGTGCTCTGGAGAGCCACAGAGGAATGCTTGAGAATGAGAGCAAAGGGGATGCAAGGAGGGGCAGGGCTCTGAATACGTTTCCTTTTGTGCAATCCAGATTGGAGCAGCAAAGCCCCTGGTTAAATACTTGTTGCCCCGATGGAGCCCTGCCTTCTGTGTTCCCTGTTTAGCTTGGGGCAGAAGCTAAAAGGTCTCCAGGTCTGTTCCAGCTAGCCCCCTGCGCCCAGGATGGGTACCCCAGGGAGGCATCCAGTCTGTTGCCTTCAGTACCCAAAGGCAACAGTTGTGTGCCTCGCTCTTTGCAGAGCTGCCTTGTCTTCCCATGATCTCGATAACAGTACCCAGAAGATCTGGGGGCGGCTCCAGCCATCACACTCCTCTGAGTCTGCCAAGACTCAGTCCTGCCAGCTGGCTTGTGCTGTGCTTTCTGAGTAGAGCAAGAGGCATTAGGGTCCCGATTCTGACTCCTTGCTCATGCCAGTGTATATTGAGGGTAAGCCACAGCCAGTCATGTGTCATACTGCTGTAAGAAGGAAAGCCCCCCAGGGAAAAGGGCTGACAGTGCAGTTTCAAGCTAGTTAGCAATAGCAAGTATTTTGGATGGAGATAATGACTAGCTAAAGGAGCATGAGAACCCTGAGGCCTGGATGTTATCCCCTGCTGTGCCACTGACTTAACTCTATGACCTTTGGCAAGTTATATCCCCCTCCCTTGGGATGAGTGAGGTACCAGGCCTTAAGCTGCTTCTCTGTACTGGGGTGAGAATGAGCCCACTTCCACCTGAGCAACTTGGATTGTGCCTTTGGCATACGTAGACTGCATCTTCTTCTGTGGCGTCGCCTTTCTCTTCTGCTTATGCTCCCAACTTTTCCTCTTCCATCTGCCTATTAACACCAGCCCATTACAGAAGGGTCAGCCTTCACCTGATATTAGACAGGAATAGATTGTTCCCCTTTATTTACTTTTCTGCACCACTTCACTGTGGCTGACGATGAATTTTGAGGCCATTTTTCACAATATTTACCTTAATGCCAGCCAGCCAGAGCTGCTGCAGTGGAGAATGTGTCAGCACTTCCAAGATCCCCTTTTCAGACATCTCAGACTCTCCTATAATAATTTGCTCCACTTTGAAATTTGGCCTAGAGAGTTTCAGATGATTGTTTTTCCCCCTTAACAAAAACCAGCTCCTAGAGAGAGAGGGAAAAAAATAGTTTGGGCCACTTTTATGGTGATTGTAAGATTGATGGATGTTTATGACTTCTGGAGGATTATTTTTTTTCTTTACTTGAATTGCTCAAAAATGGGGAAAAATGACTGGGTTTTTTTATTTATTTAAAACACTGCAGTAGGGCTATAACTTTATCTAATTGCTTTTTTTAGTCTTTGGACAAAACATATTGCAAAAAATGAAAACATCAATAATACAAGTTTGGCTCTTCAAAGGATTTTCATACACCCATTGATATGCATCCAACAATTTATAAGGCAGGGTAACAACTCATTTTGTTAGGAACGGATCAACCCTCATCCGAGAGCTTTTCCGTGGCATCCATCCGAGTTATAGGGGGCCCTGGTTGGGTATGGGAGGAGCAGGAACATTTTGTATCTATTAAGGAGGGAAGCATCTCTGTTCCTAGCACCCTGCAAACACTTGAGCTCCTGCATGCTTAACTTTAAGCAGGTGAGCAGTCCTGTTGGTGTCTGATGTCAAATGAAAAGGCTGTTGGTATAGCAACACCAGCCACCCCCTTCATGCAAACCCAGCTTATACCATCAAAAGTGCTTTCCCCGGATTGCTTTGCTGACCCAGCTCTACCAGCACTTTTTAATAATGCTGGTGCATCTGCCCCTGCACTCGGGCACAGGGAGGCTGTCAGAAATCATCAGCCCTGAACCAACCCCATGACACCAGTAGAAGTTCCCCGTGTAGATCTGACCTTGGAGATGAGCCAATGCATGAGTGCCTGCAGCATACCTGTGCCTCAGTTTACCCGTTGGTGCAATGGGTCTAAATGCCTTGATGTTTGAAAGCTGCCATGCCAAGAGTTGGCAAGTAGTCTCTACTGGGCAGGGGCCTGCAAATGGCAAAGTGGAAACCTCTGGCTTGGGAATACAGCAAAGAGGGCACTGAGTGGGACTGATGCCTAGCGGGGTGGTGAGAGGGGCCCTTGCAAGGCTTGTAGGACAGCCGGCCAATATATTTAGCATGCTCTTAAGGCACTGCAAAGGCAAGCCATAATTAAGAGGATGACTAATTAATGTTTGCAGAGGGCGATGATACAAGAGCGGGGGCAGGATGGACCCCTGTTGCATGTCTGCTTCTGCACGGATCATTTTAAGTAGGCTCTGCTGGGAAAGCCCGGGCTGCCCCCCGCCAGGGAGGGAGGTCCAGGAGACGGTAATACCTCCGGCTTTGAAAAAAGCCCGCTCTGGCTCCAGAGGGGGCGCATGTGCGGGGGAAAGTGAGGCAGGCGGGTGGCCGATCGTAGCCCCGCAGAGGTGAGCGCACAGCGCGGCCGCGTCCCGGCAGGGGCTGAGGGAGGGCGAGCATGCATGCAGCACCCCCCTCCCTTCCCTTCCCAGTTCCCGTCCTCGTCCAGCCCCCACTGCCCAGCCCTGCAGCTTGTCCCCAAGGCTGCGTGAGGCCCTAGTCCCTCTGTCCCCCCAGGTCTGTATGCAGTGCACAGGCCTCCTGGGTCTCTCCCTAGCTCCCCCGGTGCAGGGCCCGACACAGGCATGGGTGAACCAGGCGGCCGCCTGGGGCCCGGACAGAAAAATGATAATTTTTTCCCCCCTGCGTCTGGTTATTATCACTATCTCTGGCAAAGGGGGGTTGGGGGGGGTACGATACTAAAAATTCACCCAGGGCCGCCCAGAGTCGAGGTGCGGTGCTGCCTGGGCGCGTGCAAGCCCTGAGGCTCGGCTGGGAGGGAGTCGTCCATGCCATGAAGCTCCTTGGGGCTCAGGGCTTCCCAGACTATGTGCAAGGCTGTGTGGCTCCCTGCCTTGTACCCAAATCACTTGTGCGTTTAGGGCTTCTCAGCTCCACGGGGCCACAATCGACCTATCGGGCTCTACAGAGCCCAGACTACAGGGCAATCGCTCTCAGCTGCCCCCTCAAAAAGGGGGGTCAGGGCTGTGGCTTGGCCCCTCCATTTCTCAGGTCCTTGCTGCCTTGATTCCAGCCTGTTGTATGGGACTCGGAGCTGTGGTGCCTGGGTTGCCAGCGGTCTGTGTGGCTGGCCTTTTGATCCGGGTTTGCACAGCGGGGCCCTAGCTCTGGCTCCCCTGGCACATTTGCAGCACAGCTAAATAATAATGCTATTTCTCCTGCATTGTATGTTTTATTGTTAAGAAAAATATCTGGAGTCTGCAAAGCAGCCTGCTGTTTGCACAAACCAACCCTCTATTCTTCCGAAATTAAATCCTTTTAGATACGGTAACTGGCCCATTCCTCTGACAAGGCCTCAGCCCAGCATGTCTGAGCTGAGTCTGCAGATGGGAGAGAGGCTTTTTTCCCCTTGTTAAAGAGATCTGAATGTGACAAAAAAAGATCATTTTTCTTAACTGATGTAAGAAGAAAGAACTGGCCTCAGTTCTAGCACATCTCCATGCCTGAATAGTGGAAAGTGTCCCAAACAAGGCCAAGTCCTACACCCATTATGATTTTAATGTAAGTGCTGCTGTAGTGCCTTGGATCAGCTCCCCAGTGTGCTAGGTGCTGTGTCAATATACAGCATGAAAGAGTCAGTGATTTCTGCATCCTGCTCTGCGGTACCTACTTACGCTTCCATGAAATCAGGCAAAACCACCTCATATTTTACCACCTCATACCTGTTTTTGGGATCAAGGCTTGGGTCACTCAGAGGCTAATAATGTGGGATAAATTTGAGATGCCAAATAATTTATTTTGGAGGGTATGGTGTCAAGTTTAATCTATTGCAATAGCTATTGACATGTTTTTCAGCATTGTGGGTAGGTTGCCAGTTTATGTTGTAGGGGAGTGTTGGTTGTAGCTATGTTGGTCTCCAAGGACAGGCAGACAAGGTTCTTTGTGTAAATGTGATATCTTTTGTTAGACCAACTAAATAGTTGGACAAATTGTTCTTTTCAAGTTTTTGGGCACAAACATCCTTCTGAAGATTGGTGTTTGTGCCTGAAAGCTTGCAAAAAGCAGTTTTTCCAACTATTTAGTTGGTTTAATAAAATATATCATATTTACCCAAAGAACCGTAACAGTTTATGGTGTAGTTATTTGAGGCCATGATCCTGCTTTGTCTTGTGTTGATGCTGTGGCTTATGCACTGTAAGTAGTCCCACTGACATCTGCTGCGATGTTCTTTACAGAACTGGGGGGCTTGAATTGGCATGGAGTTGTCTGACCTTCGCCACCCAAGATTGAAAATGTTTGGCCCATTGCATTTATGCTATTTAGGGCTTGGACATGTGGCATCTTTTATACCAGTATAAAGTAAATTGGGATCCAGAGAGGACCGACATTTAGCTGTCCTAGTCTTCACAGGCAAGGTCAGCTCCCAGACTACTGCACCAGGCAGCACAGTTTGGGGAGGAGGTGAGCAGCCAACAGTGGTAAAAGAACAGGTTAGGGAGGATTTAGAAAAGCTGGACATGTACAAGTCCATGGGGCCGGATGGGATGCACCCGAGGGTGCTGAGGGAGTTGACCAATGTGATTGCAGAGCTCCTGGCTGTTGTTTTTTAAAACTTGTGCCAGTTGGGAGATTTCCTGGACGATTGGAAAAGGGCAAACATAGTGTCCATCTTTAAGAAGGGGAAGAAGGAGAATCCAGGGAACTACAAACCAGTCAGCTTTACCTCGGTCCCTGGAAAAATGGTGCAGGTCCTCAAGGAATCCATTTCTAAGCACTTGGAGAAGAAGGTGATTATGAACAGTCAGCATGGACTCATCAGGGGCAAGTCGTGCCTGACCAACCTGACTGCCTTCTATGATGAGATGACTGGCTCTCGATGCAGAAAGCACAGTGGACATGATATACCAGGGGTAGACAACCCCCAGCATGGGTGCCAGAGTGTGACATGCGAAGGCATTTTGCTTGGCATGCGCACCTTGAGGCAGACAGCAGGGAAGGGGCTGAGACTGCACTGCCACAACACGGATTTGGCCCCTTAGGACTCCTCTGTCTGCTCCTGACATGCCAATATCTTACAAGTCGAGCTTGCGGGTGTTTTGTTACTCTTCCCAAAAATGTTGCCAACCCCTGTGATAAACCTTGCATTTAGATATGGTCTCCCACAACATTCTTGCAAGCAAGCTAAGGAAGTAAGGGCTGGATGAATGGACTGCAAGGTGGATAGAAAATTGGCTGGATCATTGTGTTCAGAGGGTAGTAATCAATGGGTTGATGTCTAGTTGGCAGCTGGTATCAAGTGGAGTGCCCCAGGGGTTTGTCGTGGGACTGATTTTGTTCAATATAGAGTCACAGAGTCAGTGGACCGGAAGGAACCTGTAAGATCTTCGAATCTGGTTCCCTGCCATAGGCAGGAGGTTAAAGAGCTCAAACTAGCTGAACGAGGTGCTTATCCAGCCTCCTCTTGAATACCTCCAAGGATGGTACCACCTCTGCTGGGAGTGTGTTCCAGGTTCTAGTTACCCCTATGGAGAAGAAGTTCTACCTTATGCCCAGCTTAAATCTTCCCTCTATTAATTTGTGACCATTGGTCCTTGTCCTCCCAAGGGGTGCCTTCCTGAAGAGTTCCTCCCCCAGCTCCTGGTATTCCCCCTGACATATTTGTAGGTGGCTATCAAATCACTTTGCAGCCTCCTCTTACCCAGACTGAACAAGCCCAGCTTCTGGAGTTTCCTCATAGGGCCTATCCCCCAGGCCCCTAATCATGCGGGTGGCCCTTCTTTGCACCCTCTTGAGTTTATCTGCATCCTTCTTGAAGTGTGGTGTCCAAAACTGGGCACAGTACTCCGGTTGTGACCTCACCAGCGCTGAGTAGAGAGGGAGAAGCACCTCCTTGGGTCCGTTGGCGACGCACGCCAGGGTTCTGCTTGCCTTGCTGGCGACTTCCTCTCACTGTTGGCTCGTATTCATTTTGTGGTCAGTTGTGACCCCCAAGTCCCATTCAGATGCCATGCTAGCCAGCAGGCTACCACCTATCTTATAGTTGTGGTGAAGGTTCTTCCTACCCAGATGAAGGACCCGGCACTTTTCCCTGTTGAAGCTCCTCTGATTCCAATCAGCCCATAGAACCAGTCTGTTGCGGTCGTCTTGAATCTTTACTCTATCCTCTGGTGTGCTCACGTTTCCCCACAGCTTTGGTGTCAACCACAGACTTAATCATAGAGCGTTCCACCCCCTCATCCAAGTCATTAATGAATATGTTAAAAAGCGTGGGTCCAAGCACCGATCCCTGTGGGACATCACTGGAGACAGCCCTCCAGGACGAGGCTGTCCCATCTATTACAGCTCTCTGGGACCGGCCTCTAAGCCAGTTATCCACCAGCCCCACTGTAGGCTGGTCCAGGCCAGTACCCTCCAGTTTGACTGAGGGAATTTCATGGGAGACAGAATCAAAGGGTTTACTGAAGTCTAAGTAAATGATGTCTATGAGTCATGACCCTTGTGTGACGGAGCAGTGGCAGGAAAGCAAGGCGGGTGGTTTGCTTGGAGATGGGGGTGGGCCGGAGCTAGCATCGGGCCTGGAAGTTGCTCTTGTCACGCCTTGTCCAGCTGGTTAGTTAGTTACCTGGTCGTCAAAGGACACCAGGTTTATCAGGCATGATCTACCTTCCACAAAGCCGTGCTGGTTGTTTCTTAATACCCTGTCGGTTACAAGCTTGTGATTGATGGCATCTTTAACAATTTTTTCAAAAGTTTTTCCAAGGACCAAAGTCAAACTGACTGGTCTGTACTTTGCAGGGTCATCCCTCCTCCTTTTCTTAAAGGCGGGCACCGTGTTGGCCTTCTTCCAGTCGCCCGAGACCACCCCTGAGTGCCACAACTTTTCGAATATCTTCGCCAAGGGCTCTGCTATGAGTTCAGCCAGGTCTTTCAGGACTTTTGGATGTAGGTCATCTGGCCCAGCTGACTTGAAAAGGTCAAATTGTTCTAAGAGGGCCCTTACCTGTTCAGGACTGATTTCATGTTGTCCGTAGGCTTCCCTGTGTCTTCTGGGCCTCTGGATGGATGCACAGCTCCTATTAGCCTTCTGGAATACCTATGTGAAGTATTCATTTAGTAGCTCAACCTTTTCTGTGGGGGTCAGCAGTCAATATCTTCATCAGTGACCTGGAAGATGGGATGAAGTGCACCCTCAGCAAGTTTTCAGATGACCAAGCTGGAGGAAGTAGTAGATATGCTGGAGGGTAGAGCTAGGACTTGGAGAGACCTCAAAAAATTGGAGGATTGGACCAAGCAAAATCTCATGAGGTTCAATAAGGAGACGTGCAAAGTCCTGCACTTAGGATGGAATAATCCCATGCACCAGTACAGGCTGGGGGCTGACTGGCTGGGCAGTAGCTCTGCAAAAAAGGAACTGGGGGTTACAGTGGACGATAAGCTGGATGAGCCAACAGTGTGCCCTTGTTGCCAAGAAGGCTAACGGCATCCTGGGCTGCACTGGTAGGAGCATTGCCAGCAGATCGAGGAAAGTGATTCTTCCCCTCTGTTCAGCACTGGTAAAGCCATATCTGGAATACTGTGTTCAGTTTTGGGCCCCCCACTACAGAAAGGATGTGGGCAAATTGGAGAGAGTCCAGTGGAGGGCAGCAAAAATGGTTCAGGGGCCACGGCACATGTCTTAGGAGGAGACACTGAGGGAACTGGGCTTATTTAGTCTGGAGAAGAGAAGACTGAGGGGGGATTTAATAGCAGCCTTCAACTCCCTGAAGGGTGGGTCCAAAGAGGATGGAGCTCATCAGTTCTCAGTGGTGGCAGATGATAGAACAAGGAGCAATGTTCTCAAATTGCAGCCACAGAAGTTTAGGTTAGATATTAGGAAAAACTTTCTCACTAGTAGTAAAACGCTGGAACAGGTTACCTGGAGAGGTGGTGGAATCTCCATCCTTGGAGGTTTTTAAGACCCGGCTAGACAGAGCCTTGGCTGGGATGATCTAGTTGGGGATTGTCCTGCTTTGAGCAGTGGGTTGGACTAGATGTGACCTGAGGTCTCGTCTAACCCTCATGTTCTCTGATTCTGTGAATGACTTTATGGAGTGGGTTGCTCTTGCCACAAGGTGATGGAGGAGCAAGTAATACAGTAATGTGTTTGCATAAGTGGGGGCCAACTGTTTTTCCAGATGTGCCACAAATTAGCTCCAGACCCTCCTTGAGTGCCACCCTCATCCCCTTTTCCTTCCCGATCTGCTGCTTTGCTTTTTTCTCCCTACCCAGTGTTCCTTGTCTGATCTTCTGCTTTGCTTTCTGCACCTACCCAATCTGCTGCTGCTACCTGTCTCATCTTCAGGCTGCTGCTTGCCATGCAGAGGCTGCGCGTGACACTTGTGACATGCGTGCTGCAGGTTGGGCATTTGCATTGAATAAATGGTTACCCCAGGGTAAGCTGTGTACTGACACCCATAGAATTTTATCCATGGGACTTTTAGACCAGATATGAGCAAGTTACGCTAGTGTGGGGCTGTACCTTTTGTGTCCACTCCTATTTTACGCTGGTATAAAGCCTGATTACCCCAGTATAAGTGTGTTGTGTGTCCAGATCCTTAGCACTTATTCTTGTCAGCCACCCTGCCTTGTGTCTAGTGAAGCAATGTAAGCAATTGAAAGGGACTGATCAGAATTAGGCCGTATACCACAATCTCCCCGTATGTCCAAGTCCATCGGGGACTTGGAGTCCTGCTCTCTAGAGCGGGTTGTTACTGATGCTGTATTTTGTGCCTAGTTCCGGGGATACGAGATGCACTTTGCGGGCCACAGGGTGCAAGTTTGACGTCGGCTTCACTAGTGAAGTAGCGAAGATGATTTCAAGACTGGAAGGAACATGGTAAACGGGGTCCCTCTGGCACTGGTGGATTGTAAAACGTGGCCCTGCCCTGCAGTCCAAGGCCTGGGGCTCTAGTGCTATTCGGGGAGGTGGATGAAACACAGGTGCTGTTTCCGCTGCCTGGCATGGAGCAACCTGGCTGTAATTGGGTCCCCTGGAAGGGCTATTTGAGCATCAGGATTGCTGAATGGGAGTGTTATGCCAGACTGTGAGGAAGCAGCCTGGGCTGCGTCATGGTAAGGATGTAAAATGCCAAGGCAGGAAGCCCTGGAGTCCTAAACAATGTTCAGAGCAGCATCGATTTCCAGATGCAGCAATTGTGGGTGTGGGGGAAATCGAGAGCCCTTTTGAACTCTTCCCAAAGAGGCAGGGTCAGCAGATGATGACGCATCCTTGCAGGTGCAGCCTTCTCCTCTGAGTTGCCCCCTTGGCAATAGCTGGTGGTCGTTCAATGGAGGGATCAGTGTCCGGGCCCTGTTTCACCCCCCATCCCTCTCACTGAGTGCTGAGGATTGGGAGAATATCTGCGGTGTTTGTTTTTGCCTTTGGCCTTTACAGGGCCAACAGAAAAGGTAGCTGGTCTTGTTGGGTATAATAGAATTGTTTGTATCACTGCCATGCTGCCTGCCAGCTTTCCACAGAGGAAGGGGTTAAAAGTTTGAGTCCTTCCTTTGCCACCGATTTCCCAGAGGGCTTCAAGTTGCTTATCCTCTCTGGGAGTTGCTTTCCCAGCTGTAAAAAGGGGATAACAGCCCTGCCCTGCTTTATGGGAGGGGGGGGGCTGTACATGCCAGGGGCTGTACATGTTCATAGCAAGACCCAGTCATGGTCCGAGAGAGAGTGCTGTTAAAATGGATGAAGGAGGTGGAGAGCAGAGGCACGGAGAGGCGAGGTGATGTGTCTGGGGTCACCCAGCCGGGCTTTGGCAGAACTGGGAATAAAACCCCAGTATCTGGGCTTGTAGTCCAGTGCTCTGTGCATGGTGAAAGAGATGTTATGGGTGGGTCCTCCCAGGGTCCTGATCCCACGCCTGGTGTATCAGAGATATGAACAGACTTATCCCCTTAGCGAGCACATGAGTCAAGCTCCCACTGGGCTGGGATTGCAGACTGGCACCGTCCCATCCTCTCTTTCCCCCACTTCTTTTAATGCTGAGGAAGGAGAAGCGTGCCCCTGCTGTTCTGGTCTCTTGGCCGCGATTGTGAATTCTTAACTCTCTTCATTTTAAATGTTTCATTTTACTGCGGCTCCCACTTGTCTGATCAATAAGGACAGTGAACAGCTGCAAGGCGCAGGGACGCTGGGGTGGAGATGCTGTAGGGAGTTCAGTGCGGTGATGGTGTGTTGCCCCTCTTCCCCATACAGCGATCAGGGTGCAGGGATAGAAGCCATCCAGCTGTCTCCTATGGGTGTATTGTGTGGGCAGAAGTGTGTGATGGCAGGTATTGTTTGCAGGACAGGGGCACAGTGAAGGGCCTCTGGTCATACCTGTGCTCTCCAGAGACTTTACGTGAATGAAAGCAGAGCAAGGGCATCTAACACATGCCTGGAATCTTTTTCATGCTTAGGAATGGGAGAAACCAGGAGATCTCTGGCATGATTTAGAAAGGGGTGGCAAAGGAGGGTTTGGAAAGTCCTGACTGCCTTGCGAAGTGACCAGCAGCCCAAGAAAATGCAACTTGGAGCAAGTATGGAGACAGCCACTGCCATCGTGTGGAAGGGGCTGGGAGGGAGAGACTTCAAGGAGGGACAATTAAATGCTGATAATATCTGGCTTGGGAGGCTTCCAGGCACTGCATGCTGGTGCGGTGTATTGGAGGCGTGCAGTGAGAGGCAGAGGAGCTGACAGTTTCTAAGCAGGAGGGCTCTTACACCTTGGCCTTGTATCCGCAGCAGGGGATTGGGTCTCTGCTACATGGGACACCTAAGATCCAGGAAAATGCACTGTCTCCTCCACCGCTCAGGTTTGTTGTGCATGGCGCTGCACACACAATCCCAGGTACTCTCTGCCTTGGAGATCCTAGTCTAACTTGACCAAGAGCAGGAGCTACAGGACAGTCAAATGACCTGGCTGAAGTCACCCAACTCACTGGTGGCAGAGATGGGTGGTGTGGGAGGCTTAGCCTGAGGCTGGGTGGCAGAGTGGTGCCAGCTCTTGCCTGGGTGCACTTGGTTCCCAGTAGAGATTGTCATCTTTGTGCAAGAGGGAGGCGGGTGTGGGAGGCAGAAGGCAATTGTAGTGATGTCAGAGCTGTATTGCAAAGAGAATGTGTTCCTCTCCTGGGGGTTTGGGAGCATTGGCTGCCAGGTACCTCGGTGCTCCTCACAAGCTGTGGAACAATTGAGTCCTCTGCTGGGGAGTTGCCTTGCACACAGAGGCTGCTGACCTGTCTCCCTGGAGCACTCAGCCCTCTTGCTTCCTATGCAGGGCTCGGCTGACTGCTTAAGCATGAGGCTCTTTGGGCCAGTGGTTGTTCAGAGACACCGTCAGTGACCTCCGCACGATGCAGCTCAGCTGGGTCCTGCCAGGCTGTTTGCAGAGCAGGGCCAGCCTAAGTAGAATATGTTGCTCACTGGGTTCTTTCTTTCTGGGTGCTTCTCCCTGCCTAAGATGTCTGCATGGCCACCCTCTCCTGCCATATCCGGAAGCGTCGCCATCCCATCCGGGGCAGGGGGTTGGACCTGATGATCTGTTTAGGTCCCTTCTGACCCTAAGTACTATGATACTATCCCTCACGCTACCCCTGCGAGGCCTGCTGTCCACTGTATTGGGAGGTGCACAGGCAGTTGACTTGCCCAAGTCATCCCAGGCACCTATGCCAGAGCAGAGGATTTGAATCCAGGTCCCCTGAGCCCTGGGTTGGATCCCTGACTGCTCGACTGGTCTTCTCAGTGAGGCTTAGCCAAGCACTTTGCTGATTTTCAAACCATCTCATCCCTTTGCCTCCACCTTCACAGTTTTTCTCTCCACAGACTTTGCATCTCCAGACACATTTGTGTGTGTGTCTTCTCCCTGTGTTCCTGAGGGTAGAGCAGAAAGATCCTGTTCCCTGGGCCGGGCACACCATGGCTCTGACCCCCAAGGGCTATGCTACCCACAGCCTTCAGGCTGAGGAGAAATTAAACAGCAAGAGAAAGGTAGACGATTCCTTGGGGAAGGTGCCAGATTTCGGGCTGCTTGCCATATGGGATGGGAGGCAGGGGAGAGAGTTGGAGTCTGAGCTGGAGCAGTGTACTGGAAGCAAAGGCTTCAAGTCCTGTTTCGAGGAGCTTTGCTATTGCAGGAGATACCACCCACTGAGCGTGTACTAGAAGCCTCTCTCCTGGAGTGTCTGAGACCCACACTTCTAGTGGGCACCCCCACCTTGTTTCCAGTTGAAGAGGCAGCTTCCACAGAGCAGTGTGGCAGGCTGGAGGGTGCCGCGGCCCCACAGATGAGGACTGTGCCTCTATGAAAGCCAGTGGGGTTCAGGCACTCCAGTCCTAGGAGCCATTTTTGGGCCAAGCTTTTATTTCTGGTATGGGGTCCCAGGGGACAGGGGAGGGAGGAGCTGGGGGTGACAGATTTTTTCATAGATTTCATAGACATTAGGGCTGGAAGGAACCTCGGAAGATCATCGAGTCCAGTCCCCTGCCCCAGGGGCAGGAAGTCAGCTGGGGTCATAGGATCCCAGCCAGATAAGCATCCACATTCCTCTTGAAGGCATTCAAAATAGGTGCTTGAACCACCTCCAATGGCAGGCTATTCCAGACTTTGGGGGCTCGGACAGTAAAGAAGTTCTTCCTTATGTCCAACCTGAAACGGTCTTGCAGGAGTTTATAGCTGTTCGACCTCATCATCCCTTGGGGTGTTCTGGTGAACAAACGTTCCCCCAGATCCTGGTGAACACCCCTTATAAACTTATAGATGGCCACCAGATCGCCTCTGAGCCTGCGCTTTTCCAAGCTGAAGAGTCCCATAGCTCTCAGCCTCTCGTCATAAGGTCTGTTTTCCTGACCTGATCATGTGTGTGGCTCTTCTCTGGACCCTCAAGCTTCTCAAGATGTTTGTTTCCTCAGGAGAAGGCCTGGCTGCCAGTCATTGGGATGAAGCTGGAAATCAGCACCCCTTTCCTGGGTGTGCACCGCCCCTTCGTGGGACGTTGCTGCCAGATCTGCACCCCTAGGAGCTGGGTAAGGGAGTGAGGCAGGGCTGTGGTCAGGGTTGGGTCTTTGCTTCCATGTGCTCCTCGATGAGGTTTCTCTCAATGAGGGCCACAGCAGATTGTCAGGGGAGTTGTTCACAATCTGGCTCTGCTCTGGCAAGCAGCAGCCTCCTCCCAAAGGTGAAGTGGAAACTTATTCATTGGAGTGCATCCCAGTAACACCCGCCTCTCCTTCTGCCTTCAGGAATCCCTTTTCCACAAGCATCTTCTCTCCTTGGGCTTCCACAATGCCATCCGGGTGACGGAGGAGGACACCAGGTTAGAAGGGGCAAGGGTTAGATGGGAGATCTTTGGGCCATGCCTCCGTGCTGGGGTAATTTCCTTCTCTTTTCAGCTTGCCTCTGACTTGTGTCCACTCTATGACTGAGAGGTAGCTCAGGGCAGAGATGTTGGTGTGGGCTCGCTCCTCTGGTCCATACCCATGGTCCTGGTTGGCCCTGTATAGCCTAGGTTGCCATGTTTGCTGTTCTTAGGCTGGAGATATAGGTGTCAGGATTCCCGGGTTTCATCTCCAGCTCTACCACTGATTCAGCACACAACTTTGGCTCAGTCCATTTCCCTCTGGTTAGCCCATCTGAATCAGACTGAAAAATAACACTGCTTCTCTCCCTCCCAGGACTGTTGCAGCTTCCTCATTTAGCCTCGCAAGCTAATTAGCCTAATAAGTAATTAGTTTAATTATTGTTTGGAAAGCTCTTTGAAAGCTGCTGTCCCCAAGTGCAGAGGCTTACTAAGTAGAGAGGAGAGCACTTGATTCATTTTTTCTCAGTTCACATACCAGCCCCAGCAGACTGCCTTGTTACTAAGATTCCTTCCCTGCTGTGAATGGGGGGAATATTCAGAGATTGGGGAGGAGAAGAGGGTTCTTTCCGATTGCTTTTCTAGGGCCAGTGTTGGGGAAAGCGTCCTAAGCCTTTGTGTAGGTCTGACTAACCAGCGTCTAGCCGCGTGAGCTGTTAGGCATTAAAAATCATGCTGTTCCATGCCCTTTCTGGTATTGTCTCTACCCCAATTCCATGACCGAAGTCTGCAGAACCGCATTTACGTTAGCAGAGGATATAGCCTGCGATCCCAGACAACCAGGAGCTCCCCAAGTGCTATGTTTAGAGAGCAACTGGCCTGCTTTCGGAAGGTGCTGAGCCCCTGCATTCTCTACCGGTTCAAAAGCAGCATCATGGCTGTCGAGCAGTTTTCTCAAATCTGGTCTTTCTCCTTTATGTTGCTTTAAATTATAGGGCTCCCGTCTCTGAATGGTTCAGTAATATATGGCCCCTCAGAGCAACTTGGGAGTTACAGTGTGTTCAAAAACAAAGCTACAACCCTGGATCACTGTGGGCACACAAGTGGGTAGTCAGCAGGGTGTGATTTTAAAGTCTGACCTATGTGCTGTGATTAGGGATTCAAGGGGATCCTTTATCCATGGGTTTCTGGTTTTCTTGCATGATGAGATACTTTCCCACACCTGTTTGCTTGCAAGGAATGAAGCCCAACTTAAGTATCTTTGTCTGTTGCCTGACCTGCTCTGATCTGGGGCTGATTTAGAGGATGTCTGTCACCTTGGAAAATCTAGGCCGGAGATGAAGTGAACTCAGAGGCTGAGCCAAGAGTAGAGCCTCTGTCTCCCAGTTCCCAGTCCAGTACCTATCCCGTGAGCCCACCCTATTGTAAAAGCCTTCCTAGAAGGCCACCTGGCTCAGTTGTCTAGAAACCCCCTGTGAATGAAGCGTCAGATATTGAGGTAAGACCTGCTGTAATGCATGTCAACCCCTGTCCTAACCTCTGTGAAGGAAAGAAGGAGATGCAGGAGGGCTGGGTTTATTAAAGGAATGGGGTGTCTAAGTGAGACAAACACACTGAGGGACTGATCCAGGAACTGCCAGCCTAAGTAGGAAGGCTCATACTGGGATTCGCAGGGAATTAGCTTGGGCAAGGATCCTGCCTTAGGTAGGGGGTTGGACTCACTAGAGGACCTATAGAGATCCCTTTCCACCCCACTTCTCTATGATTTCTGTGAAGTCACTTCCCCTCCCAGCACTTCAGCTGTGTAGAACGGGATAATGATCCTGGCTTCCTGTATGAAACGTGTGGTGATCCCAAGATGCAAAGTGCTGGATAAGCAGTCACCAGCCTTATTGTGAATTCCTAGGAGACATCTGCTTACATACCAGGCGGCACTGGATGCACAGCATGTGTCTGGGTTTTGATAGTCACCTGCATCTCTCTCTCCCTAGGTACAGGGGCTGGCTGGTTCGAAGGCTCTGCCACTTCCTGGCAATATCCAATTGGAAAATTCCTTCTAGCTCCCCTGGAGACTTCGAGAAGAAAATCTGCCACAGCAAGAGGTATCGCTCCAGGATTGTTTTTAAGGAAGCTGCTCTTCACCCTGGGGGCTGGCCAGGAACTTGAGCTCTGGCCTGCCCATGGTTGTCTCATGCTGTTATAGTCCTCTGTGCTTTGGATCCTGTGCAGCAAGGCAGTATGGTGGACAGGGCACTGGGGCTGTGGGGTGATGAGAGAGCTTGGACCTAGAGTTCAGGTGTAGATAGTCCCAGCATCCTGCGCTAGTCATGAGACCCTTGTTCCCTTCAGAACAATGCAGATTATACACAGAGCTGGAAATCAGGGCAGGGAAGACACCTGAGTCAGGACTCCTGGGTTCTGTTCTCTGCTTTGCTGTTTATGCCCTGTCCACCCTGGGATTCAGCCTCTGCAACAGGTTGAAACATTTCTCTATGACCTTTTTATGGGTTTGCGACTAAATGAAGCTCAGTTCCAGGGAAAATGCTTCCCCTGGCAGTAGCATCTTCTTATCAAGTGCCCGACTGCCAAAACTCTCAGTGTGGCCATGTGTAAGCTGGGTCTGCAGGCATGAGGGGATTGCAGAGCACGTAATTTGCCTGTGCTTGAGTACCAGATGAAAGATGCCTGGATATCAGGGTGCACAACACAAGACTGTTTAGGTACTCTTGTGGGTGGATGAAGCCCAAAGCACAGAGCCTCCACTATGTTGAGAGCTTCATGCCCAGTCATACCTCCTAGCTGCTGCGTAGGTGTAGCCTTGCTCCGAGTAATGGGGACCTTTGTTCAAACTGGTTTGTCCCTTGGGACTCTCATGTGTCTCTGGCACAATTTGCATCAGAAAGCTGGAAAAAAGCCTTCTTAATTTGACTTGGCATGTTTATACAGAGTGTTATACAGGTATCACTGCAGTGGTGTGATGATATCAGGTGCAAAATTGTCCTATTGGCACCTTGCCAGCCTTGAGAGAATGGATGGGCCTGAGGCTCTTTGGGTGTAAATCCAGCAATACTCACTGACTTCTCCTAGCTGAGGCTGCAGCCCTGGGCTTGGTGATCCTCTGATGTGAGGCGCCTTTGCTGATTGAAAGGTGCTAAGCTGTGTCTGCACAAAGGATCCTTTTCTCTCTGGGGCCCTGTCTCCTCATCTGCATTTAGTTAGAACCTCTGGCATTTTCCTCCTCACATTTTTTTTTGGTAAGTTATGATCTACGAGTCTGGCTTTGATGTCAGGCTGAGCTGACTAAAGTGGTGCACTGGGTGACCAGATGAGCTGGTGGGTGTGATGCCATCGGAGAAGCATCGCTCTGATGATTAGATTATCAGCAGATAGAAAACAGTCCAGCAAACCGCCAAGGTTCGTTACAAGTTGAATTTTTGGTGTCACCCAGAATATCTCTTGGCCATTAGCTGTGTTGCAGGAACACTTGGTGCCTGCAGCAGAGATCAGGGCCCAGTTGTATCGGATGCAGTACATTCAGAAAGTGAGAGTGAGTCCTTGCCCCGTGCTAGAGCCAAGGTGCAGATGTGGATGGGAATTAGGTCTCCTGCCCACAGCCAGGCAGGAAATCTGTGCAGAGTAGGAATAAATTCATAATTTAAAGATTATTATTGATTATATGCATTGAGCTAATGTGTCTGTCACAAAGAGCCCCAGTGTGCTAGGTGCTACACAAAAAAGATGGCCTCTGCTCCCAAAGAGCTTGTAAACAAGATATAGAGCAAGAGCCAGCAGGTGAATGAAGACAGGGTAATGCAGGGAGGCAGTGCTGGTCAGAAAGGTGGGCTGTAGCTTCAGGACCTCAGCTGCCTAAGTACTGTCAGGGTCCCTGTCACACCTGTGCTTTGGGCTGGACAAAAGGACACCTGTGGATGTCAGTGGGAAGGCTCCTGTCAGCCTGTTACAAACTTGGATGTGTGGCCTCTAATCAGCTGCAGTGGAGTTTATGGTGGGGACAGAAAGGCTGAGTGTGACTTGCTGCAGCTGGATTTTAGCCAGGCCACTGGGATTAGTGGGCTGATCTTGGAGAAGGAGGGACAGAGGGTCTAGTACCCACACCTCCTCTAATCCTACAGGGCCTCATTGCTGTGTCAGCCAGCACTGTAACCCAGCTCTCATTTCTCCTCTGCTCTGCTCCCTGGAAACACTGTTACTTCCTACTCCCTGGGGTCCCCTTGGCTTCTTGTTCAGTAGACAAACTCCGGGCTGGTTCTCACTACATCGGCACAGCATCTTGCCTTACTCTAAGTCACTGTAGCTGCCAGTAGCAAGGGGCTGTGTGCAGGAGCCAGTAGGTTCTCACTGCTGCGATATGTGCTGCTTGCTTCAGTTACCTTTTAGCCCTTGCAATTTGCTCAACTGATCTCCAGTCTCCTCTTCTCCCCAGGGTGCAGGATGTCATGTTGCAGCAGGTCCCCCAGGCAAGAGGGGACAGCCCCATTCTCAGCCAGTCCCCAGCAGGCTGGAGGAGTGAGGTTCTTCAGGTCCTGAGTCAAGTTCAGGCTCCAATCTCCCTGCTCCTGGTGAGGTAGGTTCTCTCTCTAGGCCCATGCAAGTGCTGGGAGGGGTTAAGCAGGGGGCTCTGTGACCTGGTTGGATTGTGTATATGGCACTGGTGTAGGGCAGGAGGGCTCACAGGGTCGGGGCTGTGACAGGAGCTGGAAGCTGCAGGCTGTGGGTTCAGGCCCTATATAGGTTCATGCCCTCCAATGGATGTTGTGCGAACCTGGACTGTGCCCTGCTGACTGCTCCTGCTTGGGCCACAGAGAGCAACCCCACTCCCGTTTCCCATGGGGTCCATGCTGAGATGGGGCAGAGGATAGCAGTGGCTCCTGCCCTTGCTATAGGGATAACTATGGAGGCTTAGCTCTCTAGGGCTGGTGGACAGTCCCTTCCAATAGACAGAGCAGTGGAGTGGCTGTTGGTGGGCTTTGCTCCTGGTTGTGTGACCACAGGCATGTTTGTGTGCCTCAGTTTCCCCACTGGTGGGAAGGCCGTTGCGATACAGACCAGGCGCTTGGAGCTGCAGGGCTGAGAGGCAGCAGGGAGGGGATTATGACTCTGAGTCTGGCACCTCACGTCAGCACGGCATTAGCACACCCGGCAAAAAAAGCAAAGGAGGTGCGGATTCAATTACTGAGGGAGAGAGCTGCCTGCAGTGCTGCTTTCTCTCTCTGTCTTTTACAGAGACACAATGGCTGTGTGGGTGGGGTGGTGATGGGAAATCAGCTCCCTGCTGGGAGCTGAGAGGGGGTGCATGTGTGTGCACGAGTGTGTCTCCAAGACACATGTGAAGTTCCTTGCAGAGTTGATGAGGAATTTTCTTCGTTTCAAGCAGGGAGGTTGACTGCCTGGGCTGATGTGTGTGCAATGGGTCAACAGGGCTGGGGTAGCCAAGGGCCTGAGGGTCAGTTCAGCCCTCCCACCCTCCAGCCTGCAACCCCTTGCTATTCTAACCCATCTTTCTATCTACCTTCCCTCAGCTCTTCCAGTGCCTTCAGGCCCAAGTTCTCCTTGCACGCTGAAGCTGAGCGTGTGAGGGGAGCCTGGGCCTGAAGGCATTGGCCGAGCTGAGGGGAGGTGGAACGATGGGTTGGAATAGCAAGGGGTTGCAGGCTGGAGGGTGGGAGGCCTGCCTTGACAAACAGGCACTGCAAGTTGGGTTTGAAGGGCTTCAGCAGAGAATAGCCCAGGGCTAGGACTGCTGGCAGCCGCAGGTTGGGACTGAGGAGTGTTGGGATAGTGCCGAGGCCTGGGGTAGAAGGGTGGGATTGAGGAGCCCCGGCAGGTGCACGGAGTCCCCATTGCTATTCCAGGCTTGGAATAGCAAAGGGGACAGAGCAGAGGGAGCCTGGGGTCTGCTAGCACCGCTGGCTCAGCTTCTCAGTGGATGCTGCTGGCCTGTATCAGGTGTTAACACTGTCACCTTCCAGCAAGCTCCACGTTTAATGCTGGGAGAGGAAAAAAAAATAGCAGCAGTGAGAAATCAAAGGAAAAACCTCTCAGAGCAGGGGAGCGTTATTCTGTTGTTGAGAAATTGGCAATTAAAGGTTCCATTGTGGCCTAATTGCTTGTCTAATTGAGCTGTAATAAAAGAACCCTCATGAACAGTCTGTGGGATTTTAAAGGGAAGAAATTACCCCAGGGAGAAAAGCATTTAGATCTTTCTTGTAAACAACTTGCACAGGTTTGGTGGGGAAATGTGGAGGGGAGGGCAGAGCTATTTGGTTGTGCTGGGTTTTCCTCTTGGTTTTGGTTTGGCCGAATCTCATCCTGGTTTAAATCTGCCCTACCCTGCCCGCTCCAGTCTTTTTCTGTAAGCCAAGTTCCTGTTTACACTGCTCCGGGGGAGCTGAGAAAACCACGATTGTGAAATGGAAGTGTAATAGCTCCTATACCGCTTTTCCTTGGTGCATCTCAATGAGCTACACCCAAAAGGCAAATTCCACTCTCCTTGTTTTATACATGGGGGTGTTGAAGCCCAGAGAGGCAACAGGACCTGGCTAGGGTCACGCAGCTGTGGCCTGGGGATACAGCCTAGGTCTCTTGAATTGACCTTGACAGCTATGGGGTGAATTTGGGTATAGGCTCAGCAGTGGCTCAAACTGGTGAGTCTATGATCTAGCCGAGGCCCTGGAGGGTCTATTGAAAATAGCAGCTACGTGAGAAGCCCCATTTTGGGTTCATGTCATAGCCTGGTTCCCAATATATAAGTTGCCCTGAGAGAATAAAGCCCCACTGGACAGACCCAGCCAAGAGGTTGAGGCTGGGATATAGCAGGGAGTCTGGACCCTGTTCTCTGCTCTCATCGTGTGAGCCTGGGGAGTGCTACAGCCTGCCTGGTTCTCAAGGATCCACACAGGTAGGCTGGTGAGGAGATGCTGTCCTGTGGGCACTGCTTCCCCCTGCATTCACCAGCCGGGCACCTTCTCTTTATGCATAGGGCACTTCACATCCCCGCTGTAAGGATTTTTTTCTTCCTCCTCCAGGCTGTGCAGCTGGGCTCTGCTCAAAGTCCTGACCCGCTTGTTCCACAATGTGCTGCTCCATAAAGGGCAGGTAGAGATGGTGCGCAAAGCAGCCCAAGTGGTAAGGAGCAGCCAGGCCTGACCCTGGTGGTGGTGTTATCTGTGTCCAGTTAGTGCCTTGAAACCCTGGGGGCTGGGGACTGCAGAACCATGGAACAGAGACAGAATATGAGTGCGGCGGTCTGTGCCTGGCAGCATGAGTGTAGAGCCCTGCTTGGCTTGGAAGGAGGTGGCTTTCTGATGGCTCCAGGGTTTCTCAGGGGGCAGATGCCAAAGGAAACCATTCTGGAGCTTGGGGTGGGTGTGTAGCCCTGCAGCGTGGCCCCATCTGGGTGCCACTTACCTGGCATGGTGTATACTAGGTCTCAAATTGTGTTTTTCTTCCCCTGCCCAGCCTGATGTCCCCCTGGTTTTTCTCTCGACTCACAAGTCCTGCCTGGATGGGCTGCTGCTTCCCTTCCTCCTGTTCTCTCAAGGCCTCGGGGTGCCCAGAGTGACTTGGGAGTACCAAGCCTTTACCCCTCCCCTCAGGTAATGTTGACAAGGGCTGGGTTCTGCTGCTGTCCCACTTATCTCTTGTCTCGACAAGTGGCTGAGCCTGCTCCTGTCTTTCCTTCTCATCTACTTCAGTCACTGCTTACTCCCTCTGAATTCTTTCCCCTAGTGCTCTCCCAGCTTGGGGAAGCATGGGCCAGGGCGGTGGACTGGAGAGGGGTGCTGCTTAGGGGTGGAGAGTGCCGGAGTCTCAAGTTTGCTGGCTGCAGTGTCTGTGCTTATGTCACCTGCAGGGCTCTGCTGAGCCAGCTGGGAGGGATTTTCCTGCCACTGGAAGCGGAGCATGTGGCAGACCGCAACCAGGGAGCACTCTCCAGGGCTGTCCTTACCTCAGTGAGTTGGGGTGGGAGACCTCAGGACTGCTTCTGCACCATGGGAGACTTCCCTAGGTGGAGAGACTATAGATTGAGGGGAGGGAGAGTCAGTGGGTGGATGAGGGGCAAGGAGGGGGTGGGCACCTAGAGCTTCCAAGGGCTTTGTTGGTCCTGATGCTTGATGGGGGGCACTGTGCTGCCTGTCAGCAATGGGGGAGGTGCCCGGGTGTTGGCAGGAGTGTGTTCCTTGCCTTTGGGTCTCTGAACTCATGGGGCTCCTATCCTACCTTCTTCCCCCTAGTACGCTGAGGAGCTGCTGAAGAGCCGACAGCACCTGCTGATCTTCCTAGAGAAGCCCTTTTCCAGTGCCCCCCACCTCTCTGCCCCCGGCTGGGACTGGCTGGCACTGGTGCTGGGTGCTTTCCAGGCTGGAGCTGTTCCTGATGTCCTGTTGGTGCCTGTAGGCATTTCCTATGACATGGCCCCTGATGTGTGTTTTGGGAGCCAAGCGGTAAGGCCCTCCTGGCTTAAAGGGGCAGTGTTGGGGTGGGCAGAAGGTGCTATGAGCCAGGACTCCTGTGTTCTGTTCCCAGCTTGTGGAGTAAGGATTACCAGTTGGCACAGGGGACTGGGAGCCCAAATGCTTAGGTTCTGTTTCTTGCTCTGGGAGAGGGTCCCCAACACAGGTATCTCCAATTTGGGCTCTTTTTTCTTCACTTGGATACATGCTTTGTGCCTGGCAGGGAAGGAGCCCTGGGAACTCTCCTCATCCTTCTGTTCTGGGGATTGTAGTGGGGGTCTAATGAACCCAGGGGCTTCAGCTTCTCTCCTGACCCAGATCTCACACTGTCAGTCTTCCCTGTAACCCCAACCTGTTCCTGTCATCTCCACCCTTCCCTGAGACATCAAGTGCCCAGGACATAGCCAAGTTGTCTTCTCTCTCTCCTGTTCTGTTGCATTTTTCTCCTCCCCTACTCGCTAGCCTTTCACTGATCTGAGGAACCAGGTCAGCTGGATTTTCCAAAGGCACCTGTAAGGCACAGCCAGAGCCATTGGAAACCAGGAGTTTTGGTCCCGGGGAGTTTCTGTTGGGCTCTCCAGGGCAGGTGCAAATTGCTCCTTCCTGCAGCAGCTCTGCGGAGCTTGGGAGTATGATGTAAGCTTTGCCTGGCGATGCTGTGGGAGCAGAGCTCTTGTCTGCAGGACTTGAGAAAGCTGAGGCTGGGAAGCTGGGTGGGTTGGCCTGTGTTTGCTTTTTGCCCTATGGGCCTTTCTGCCAGAGTTGGGCTTTTCATCTGGAAGCGACAGGCATGCTGCTCCCTACATACCTCTTCCTCTCTTACAGCCCACTGCAATCTCTAAGATCAGCTGAGAGTGATCTCTTACCAGCCCCTTCAGTCCTTCAAGGTTGCTTTAGCAAAAGCCCATAGGAGGTCATTCCCAGCAGTTGCTCCTCAGGGCTGGAAGTCCCTCCCCCTTGAGGCCTGCTGGAGCTGGAGCCTGGGCACCTTTTTGAAGCACTTTGGGCAGACATTTGGCAAACAAATCTAGACTGAGATATCATTTGGGGGGGGGAAGCGGTCGGTCCCTGTTTTCTGTTTTATATTTTAGTTCCCCTTGAGGTTGTTTTGTTCTCTGGTTGCTTTCCTGTTTTGTAAGTTATTGGGTCTCTTACTGTAAACTACCTTGAGCCTCTGCTGGGAAGGGCAGTGTAGACATTGAATGAATAAATCAATAAAAGAATAAATAAATAAATGGTTCTCCTAGAGCTCAGCCCGACCTCTCAGCTTCTGGTCCTGTCTCCTGCCCATCTGCCGAGCCCTGGGCCAAGGATTTGGCTGCGTCCGAGTGGATTTTGCCCAGCCATTCTCCTTGCAGGTATGGTACAGGATCCTGGGCTTTGACTTGTGGTTCTGGCTGTCCAAGCCCTGGAATCCCACCATCTCCTGGTACCTGGGCTTGGGGAAATCTGGAGGTGTGGGAGGGTTGGCCTGTGGGACCTGGGATGATATGGCCTTATTGTGTTGGGGGCTAAGTTAGGATGAAAAAGGCTTGGTGAACATCTGGCCAGGTGTGGGGCAGATGGAAGTCCAGGGAGGTCAGTCACAGCTGGATGGGCTATGCAGGGCAGTGACAACCCTGTGGACTTTAATTAGTGAGTGCAGCCAGGAGCCTCTGTCAGTCCTGTTATGCCTGATGAACCAAATGAGCTAATTTGCCTTCACGCCTGGCTGCATGGGGCCTAGGCGGACCAGAAGCCACTGACCAGCTGGGTCTCCTTGGTCCCAGGAGTATGTCGCAAACAACTGCTCCAGACAGAGCTGCATCAGGAAGTCCCTGGAGGAGCTGCTGCTGCCCGTGGTCTTTGGCAAGCGGTGAGCATGATCCGGTTCCAAGCAGGGGGGCTGCACAGAGGGATGGGGTGCTATTGGGTTGCCATGAAAGCTCAGTTCCTGAGGGCCCCAGGGTTTGCAGGGCTATAGAAATACTCCCCAGGTATCCCCTTCTACTGTGGCAGTGAACCCATGCTCAGTGCACAGGGGTAGGGCTGCCCTAGCTCCTGGGCTGAGGAGCCCAGTGCTCAGCTCTCGCTTTCTGTGACAGCTCTTCAGTGCTTCTCTCTTGGCAGCCCAGAGACCACAGCCTCCCTCCCCTTTTATCCCCATCACCTCAATTCCACACCTTTGAAATCAAGGGGAGTTTCATTATTGGCCTCTGTGGGACCTAGATCAAGTCTGGCCCCAAAATTCAGGGAGTGGTATGGACTGTTCAGGCAGTTAGCAGCAGGTAGAGGCTTCTGCTGGCATGGATTCATGCTGGTTCAACCCTATTGCAGTCTGTCCCATATCTGAGATAAAACAAGCTGCTGGAACTCAGTCCTGCACGCACTGGGCAGGTGTTGAGTCAAGACTACCACAACAGGGGCACCAACTTGCCACCTCAGCAGGGGGATTGAGAACTAGATAAGTCAGGGACACAAATCTGTCCCTAGACAAGGAGCCTTCTAGCTTTCCATGGGTGGCAAAAATACCCAAGGTTCCAGCTGGTGCTGGCACAAATTTGAGGGGAAGAGATTCAGCTTCATACTTCGTGGGTGAGGCCGGTTTCTAAATGGGAATTGATCAAAAAGCTTTCAGCCCAGCACTTGGGTGGTTGTTGCCTGATGGAAAAAGTTTCTTGGGGACCGAAATTGTGTGTGGAATTGAGTCCATTTAGGCAGAATTTTTTTTTTTTTTTTTTTTTTTTTTTTTTTTTTTTTTTTTTTTTTTTTTTTTTTTTTTTTTTTTAACAAAATTGGTTTGGAAAATCCTCACCAGCAACCAGGAATTTCCATTTTTGGAGTCTGAGATTCACTCCAGAGTCCATTGCGTGGTACCTCTTTAGTTGGCTGCTGCTACTTTGTTGTGGTGCAGAAATGTCACAATGGACAAAAGGTTTCGTTCTGATATTTTCACTACGAAGTTGCCTTGGATTTTCCATTGTGCACAACATATCTGAGATTTTGTGGGGATTTTTGCTCCTATTTAAAAATGATTAAACTCTTTTTGCAAACTGGAAAATCCATTCCTTGTTTCCTTTTCCTAGCCAGCTCCACTGTAAGTATGAGAAAGCAGATAATTTCTCATGCTTTTTCTGAATCACTGTGGTCAGACTGGGTTTAATGGAGGATAATGAAGTTGCATCTTCTAAACTAACTCTACCTTGCCTTCTGTCTGATCTGAGACTAACTCAGCTATCTGCTTCTCTCTGCTCATGGACAGACCCTGGCACGCCAGGCTAGATGGGCCCTGATCTGATTTGGCAGGTCTGAATTCCCTATGTTGGGTCTCACAAAGGGAAGTTTGCACTGTGCTGAATGTGTAGCTGGCAGAATTGAGCCCCCTCCTAGTGTTCACTATCAGATTTGATGTGCATGCCCCTCTTAAGCAGTCTGCTCTGTTAATAGCTTCCCTTGCTCATTCTGTTGTGTTCTTTCCCCAGCACCAGCCTGATGGACTGTGAGAAGTCAGAGGAGGGGCTCCTGGGCCTCAGAGCTGCTGTGGCACTGAAAGCAGAAGAACAGATCCTGGTGGGCAGGCTTGGCCTACACTCCCTGACTGGTAGGAGCCCCCTGAATTACCTCTGCGTGTGCGCTAACCCACCTTGGCCCTCCTGGGTAGTGGGGTTTGGGGGTAGGAAGGGAAAGAAGAAAGGAGCCCTTCCACCTCAGCCTGTTCCCTGCCTTTGTTTGTACCAAGCTGTTGAGCTAAACAACCATTTAATTCAGTGTGAGCTGGAGGTGACAGCTTTGAAAGGTCATACTTGCTGCGACAGAAAGCAGCGGCAGCAAGACATAGCCTGTTCCATTACTGGTGGAAAATGGGATGGAGCAGAAACAAGGAAAGGGCAACCCCGGGCAAGCCGGCGCATGCGGATGCATTGGAGTGGGTGTAGGCATGCCTGCCCAGGTGCTGATCAGCTGTGCACTGCTCACTTGTTGGGGCAGAGGCCACCTGCTTCTGTTGTGCGTACATCTCAGCATGGTAGGGATGAGAGATGTTTCTCTGACAAAGGGGATATAAATGCACCAGCTGCTGGCTTAAGCCCTGGCTTGCACAAGGCAGGACAGATGCAGGACAGCAGGGAGAGATGAAGCGATGTCTTGGCATATGCGGGGCTGCAGCTTGTGAAGTGGCAGATCTTAGACCCACATCGAGCAGGTCAGTGCCCAGAGGATTTCAGTGCTGGCACATCCCTTAGGCTCTGTACCTCCAGGTATCTCTCCTGCCCTTGGGCTTGGGTGGGTTCCTTGCCTTCTTGGTTCGTCTGCTTGGGCTCAGCAGCAGGAGGTCTTCCAACAGCCAGGTGCAAAAGCAGACCTCATGCCTGTCGAAGCAGAAGCCAAGCACTGTCAAATTTGGCGAGAGAGGCAGCGAGCTGCTGGGAAGAGATGGCCTCCACCTCTCTCCCCTAGGGAGGAGGCTCTTCTCAGCCAGACTGGCTGACCTGCTCCACTGGGCTTTAAACTAAGCCCGTTGGGGGATGGGAGGACTACCGCCACTGCTGGCCTGCTGAGCAACCCTTGCAAAGCCAGCAAGCCAAGGCACTTAAGGGACCCCACCCCTGCCCCAGCCCTAGAGCAGTTGCGGGCAACGCAAGGGCCCCCAAGGGGACACTTGCATGCCTGTACACCAATGCCAGGAGCTTGGGGAATAAACAGGAGGAACTTGTCCTCCTGCTCAACACAAACAATTACGATGTCATAGGGATAACGGAGACCTGGTGAGACTCCACCCACGACTGGACCACAGGTATAAACGGCTATACCCTGTACAGGAGGGATCGAGTGGGCAAAAGGGGCGGAGGTGTAGCTGTCTCTGTCAAGGAGAACTACACGTCCCTACAAGCTGACATCGGCACCCTGGGTGGACGACTAGAGACCCTCTGGGTTAAAATCCATGGGGAACACGGCACAGG